CAACTGTCTGTCCCAGTCAGGACTTGATAATCCCTGCTTGACCTCATAGCAGCCTGCACATACATCACTGCCTTCACTCACTTCCAACTTCACGGCCTACAGATGTGGCTCGAGCGTGTTTACTCACCCACGCGATGTGCCATGGGCTTTATGCTGTCAGTCACTCCATGAGGTGCTCTCTTCCCTCCAGTAGTGAACCCCAGCAGGTCTGTACAGGGATTCCCTTCCTCCCATCATCCCTGGACAGGATGATCCTCATGGATTCACGCCTCAAAGGATGGGGAGCTCACATCCCCATGTGATGCAAGGGACATGGAGCCCTTGTGATTCCAGGATGCGCATCAACATTCTGAAACTTTGGGTGGTCTGAGCGTGTCAAGCATTTCTCCCATCCATTTGCTCCTATCATGTTTTTAGGAAGTTGGACAACAACAACACCATTTATTACATCAACAAACAAGTGGGCACGATGTTGACTACTCTACGTGTGGAAGCAGTCAATCTCTGGGATTGGTGCATTGCCCATAAGATCCTGTTGTCAGCAACCTGTTTTTCAGGGACTCAGAATGTGATTGCAGTCTCTCTCAGCAGAAGATTTTTCGCCAATCAGGAGCTTCATGATTCCATGCTAAATGACCTCTTCAGCTAATATGGGTCTCCGACCAGCGATCTCTTTGCCTCCCATGTCAACACAAATGCAGTACATACTGCTAAAGGCAGGGTATCCATTCTCAAGATGATGCCCTCTTCTTCCATTGGTTGGACCAGATCAACTACACCTTCCTACCTCTTCCACTCCCCCCACAAGTCCTCCACAAGAACAGGTGGGAGAGGGCCACAGTTATTCTGATCATACCATTCTGGCCGCACCAGTTTTGGTTTCCCAACTTTCTCCACATGTCAGCCCATCCCCCACTACCCCTACCCGCTTTCCAGGAGCTGCTTATGCAACAGAATGGCAGGATCAGACATCCCAATCCACAGATGCTTCACATCAGAGCTTGGTATTTGGGGGCATCTTCTCTGGAATGGGAGTATTCATCGGCAGTGCAAGACATCCTTTCGAGCAGCAGGAAAGAGACAAGTCAAGAATCCCTACTGGGCCAAGTGGAAACACTTCACTTCCTGGGCCCAGCAGAAAGGGATTTCCCCTGAGGAAGTGGACATTCCTCTTCTTTTGAACTACCTCCTGTCCTAGAAGACATCAGGGCTCTCCTTCAATTCTCTCAAGCTCCACATAGCAGCCATCAGTGCCTTCCACTCTCCCATGGAAGGACACTCCATATTTACACATCTGTTGACTACCATGTTTTGGAAAGGACTTCTTGGGACTTTCTCACCCATACCACCTATCGCTCCCCAGTGGGACCTCAATCTCGTTCTATCAGCATTAATGAAACTGCCCTTCAAGCCTCTGGCTTCATGCTCTATGTACCTCCTTTCCATGAAAGTCACCTTCCTACTGGCTATTACTTTGGCAAGAAGGGTAGGTGAACTTGGAGCCATGATGGCAGATCCCCCTTTCACCATGTTTCATAAGGACAAAGTGTCCCTGTGCCTACACCCCAAGTTTCTACCAAAGGTCATATCCTGGTTTCATGTCAACCAACCCATACACTTACCTGCTTTCTTTCCAAAGTATCATGCCTCAGCAGAGGAGGAATGCCTCTGTCTGCAGGGCCTTGGCCTCCTACCTGGTGAAGACGAGACCAATCAGGAAGTCCCTTGGACTACTGATCACTATTGCTGAAAGGATTAAGGGGCAGGAAATCGCCACACAGAGGATTTCCAAATGGATTTTGGAGTGTATTACACTCTACCTGTTGTCGGGACTGCATCCACCCCTTGGAGTGAGAGCAGAATTCTGCAACAGATGCCTCATTTGGTCTGGCTGTCCTCCGTTCAACTGTGTCATCCTCTTCCTCACACTTTTCTCTGAATTAGGTACTGCTTGTCAATCACCTAAGTGGAATACAGTAGGGACCATCATTCGAAGAAGAGGAAGTTACTTTCCTGTAACTGGACGTTCTTCCAAGATGTGTGGTCCCACCCCCGCTTCCCCTCTGCTGCAGATCTGTTCTATTTGCGTTGGAGAAGGAACCGGAGACGCGGTCAGTTCACCCTGCCCTTTATCGCCTCAGAGGGAACCATGAGGTGAAGAAAGGGTGAGTATGGGGACCAAAGGACACGACTACTTTCAAATTCTCTGGCTCCGGATGCATGACGCACATGCGTAAACCCTCTGTGGAATACAGATAGGGACCACACATCCCTCCAGTTACAAGTAAGTAACCCTTCTCTTCCCCTGTTATGCCTTATTGCTGCCCTTCTTTATAACCTTTCAGATAGCTAGCACCCATTGGGGCACTAGGAAGGAAAACTTCAGTGGAGCTATGGTGCTTTGTAAAGATGAGCGTGGACTGCTTTCCCCAGAGGGCTTGTGGCCACACCCTGTGCAGAAGGAGGAGCACCATGACATCTCTCCCCTGTGCAGGCACCACCCACAGTCATGTCCAATCGCTTCATATATCGAAGGATCAGGTCCCTTCACTCCAATATTTGATTTATACAGTGGATCCCCTGGTGACAGCTTATACACCAAAACTGGAAACTTCTGTATTTTTCCCAATCTCTCTCTCTCTCTCTTTTTTTAATCAAGAGGTATATTGGGTTATGGAGCGTATGTTATGGCAAGGGAAAAGAGCAGGATAGTAAGTGTCAAAAATTCTGGACTGGCTGTGGGAAGAGGAAGCCAACTCCTATTCTAGTTTATGAGGGAGTTTTAATATTGGATTAATAGAATTGCATATGGAATGCAAACATCCCCTCGTGTTTCAGGCTGGCTGGTCTGCATTGCATGGCTAGAGCAGAGCGATCCCATCAGAGAAACACTGAATGTATTAAATATTTGGGGCCAGGTTTTCAGAAAAGCTAAGCTCCCATTTTAGGTACTTTAAGTGAAGGGTCTGGATTTTCAAATGCGCTCGGCACCCAACAGTTCCCACTGGAAAAAAATGTGGGAAAGGTCTTGAGCCTTTTTAAAAATCTGACCCTGCCACCCTATTTTTCGTGTACGTTACCAGCTGTGCACATTGCAAATATTGCAATGGCATTCCCACCTGTTCCTTCACTGTTAAGATTGCTGTGTTGCTTGCTGAACCGTTTTCATAATTTGGTAGAGGCCGAAATGAAAGGTCTGTCTCAGAAAAAGTTAGATGCTTTTGCAGCCATTAAAAATCCTTGGTTTCAAATAACGAGCATGCGGCTGTGGTTCCCTGATCTCTGTCGCACGCAGGTTGTGACTTCCTTAATGCATCTCATGCACCAGCTGAAAGGGGGCAGTGTAACGAAACAAAGCAGGGTTGTTCCAACTCAAAAGGCTGAAACTGTGTCAGTCTGTGGAGGACAGATCTAGCTTTCCCTTGGACAGGACTACTTGTTACAATGCTCATGTCGGCCCTGTTCGTTCTGTATACAAAACAGTTTTTGAGAAACAGTCTGATTATTGAACACAGAATCCCTAGGGTCAGATTTTCAAAATAACTCAGCTCCGATTTAGGCACCTGAAGGAAGCAGCCAGATTTTGGGATCTGCTGGGGGCCGAGCAATTTGGAGAAACTGCCCCTACAGTGATCAGTATTCTTCTCGAGGGGAGGGATTTTTAGAGTTCCTGAGCACAAGTCCCAATGATTTTCAGTGCTCCTACTTGGGCACTTTTGAAAATCCCAGCCAATGTGCTCATGAACTCCCATTGGCATCAATTGGACTTATGTACATATAGGAAAAGGAGATTAGAACCCTTATATTGTAAAAATTGCTATATTAATTACTCCAGACCTGATTTAGAAGGCACTTCACAGGTGGAATTCTAGAGTTCCTCATAGGAAGGCTTCAGGACGGGCCCTCATCCCTTCATAATCATTGATAAGTATTCTAACAATCATGTCCTCTTACGTCAGACACATAAATACACATGACTGGATCCTTCCCTCCCAAAACATTAGCATAAATAATAGCCCTAAAGCCATATTATGGCGTAATTTTTACAGCAAAATTCCCCATTCAAATTGTTCTCCTTAAAAAAATATGAAGTCCTAATAGGCTCTTTAATATTTAATTCACTTTTAGGTAAAAGAGCACTTTCTTCTGCTTAACGCTGGCACCTACTGGTGGAGACAAGCAACAAAATCTTTATACATACTATGGAATTTCCCAAGAATCGAGCATGGTTCATTCAACAGCTTCCAACCCAATACATTGCCAACAGATTATATTGAGTCTTTTAGTTTGTATCCGCATAACCCATTACAATAATTACAATGAGCCCCAAAAGTCTGTCATCCAGACTGGGAGGTGTTTCTCAAAGACTGGGAAGTCTGAATTGGACGTCCCTAGTGTGTCAAATTGCTCCTGTGGTATAAATGAGCCCACTTCGGGTTTGGCTAATACACGTATCAAGCAAAACATCTTGGTTAAGAGGCTGATTTTCATACGAGTGTAGCCCCCAGCGCTCTCACTGCAACCAAACATTTCTGGATGTGTTTGATAAAAGGAATAAAGGTTTGGCTCTCCAACCTGATGTGAAAATTAAAGCCAGAGGCTATGCCATCATTTTGATGTATTCACTTTAATCTGCTCAGAACATCAGCTGAAGGAAATAGTTTCGCCTGGTGCAGCGTTCAAGTCAGATGTTTCACATTTACACAGTTAGCTCAAACATTTTCAAAATGAGGAGACGAAAGTTTGGCTCCTAGCTCCTGATTTAAGCTCTGGCCTGCTATATGTCCTTGGCAAATTACTTCACTTCTCAGGGCCTGAGATTTCCCCATCTGTTTAAAAAAAAAAGGATAATGATACCGCCTTTGTAAAGCAGTCTGAGATCCATGTACGGTAAGCGTGAGGTGTTGGTATCACTATCCATTTACAGCACCTAGAAGTTATTAAATACTGAGATCTGCCCACAGTAATCTAGAGAACCTACATGTGCTTTCTCCACACAGGGATTTGAGGCGGCTTGGAGTGACACTTGTTGGTCACCAGAAGAAGATAATGAGCAGCCTTCAAGAGATGAAGGTCCAGTTGGTGAATGGGATGGTGCCGTTGTAACTTGGTTTTAAAGTCACTTTCTCAAGTGATCGACCCTGCACTTTGTAAACTAGCCCTGAGATTTATTATAACAAAAAGAACAAAAAAAGGGAAAGTCGGTTATTTCTATAACTGAAGGACATTGGCCTCTGCCACATAATTTATAATCAGTGTTTGACTAAAAAATTTCCTTTCCTTCCTATTTGTGTCTTCATATTCATGAAGTAAATGTAACATGCATGGAAATGGATCTACTGTACATGAGGTTAACCATTTTCTTATGCTTCAGCAACAACAAGAAAAAGCCTTCCCACCACACTTTGTCTGTACATGGAATATATAGAGAGCACCTTTATATACTGAATTATGGCAGCACACGTTAATACTTCCAAGGACTTAACTTGAATGGAAAAGTTTTGTAGCCATTCATGGGCTAACAAAAGCTGCAGTTTCCTGAAGTTTACTTCAAGTCTTAATTGTCTACAGAAGTGTATTGAAGAGCAATATGATTAGATTATTTCTTGATAGATATTTTGTTTTGTAAATTTAAAAAATGCTGTTACACAGCGTTAAGTTATAGAGACTAGTGTAGAAACATGTTGCTTGTCCAGTGGCAAATACAATACAGGGTGTATATTTCCCCCCTCTGTGTTATAAAGTTCCTTTTAATTTGCTCTTCTGTGAGATGAATACATGATTAATATGTATATACTGTACAGTTTGCTACACATCCAGGTACAAGAATTTTTGGTTAGACTTGGTTTTGGTTGTTTTGTGCTACCACTTTGCTTATATTTTTGCTGCTGTTTGGTTCAAACAACATATACAAACAAAGCTTTCAGGAGTTTTAATTACATATGTGAGGTAACAAGAGTGCATTTCAATAAAAGCTGTTTCTCCCTCTGTTTCTACCTGAGCTCTGGATATTACGGGGCAGATTTCAAAAGCATAAATGGGAGTTAGCCATCCAACTCACATTGGCTTTCAGTGGCAGTTGGGTACCTAACTTCTTCTGGACCTTTGAAAGTCTCCCCCTAAAATATCCAGCATGGCTCAGCACCCCTGTGTACTGTGACCAGTCTGCTGCAAATGGATTTAATCTCAGGGACCCATGTGCTTCCAAGCCAGCTGGGTCTGGGTAGAGACTAGTCACTGTTTTTAGCTCTGGATCTAGAGGGCACACTCCCAGGCTCAGACCTCTTGTTTTGAGCCCTAATTGGCTTGTCAGTCCACCACCCTGGACAATAAAACCAGTGCCTCTGACCTCCCGAGCCACTCAGTTGCTTACACACGCTAGCCCAGAGCTCCACTGAGGCTGTGGGCTCTCTGGGGTACAGGTTAACTCCTTACAGGACAACACGCCAGGGAAGCAGGGAGCGCAGGCTTAGGCAAGGAATCTCTTCACCACAGACACTTTACTCTTCAGAAGTGTGGTCTGTTCATGTTTCAGGCTGGACAAAGTCCCTCCTGCCCTCTTTTTCCACCAAGCCTTCAGTTCTGTGGTGATGGCCAGCCGCCCAACTCAGAGCAGCACCCCTTCTTAAGTGCAGTCTCTGTCTCCTTCACCCAGGTGCTCCTCTGGAAAGCTTATCCCTTCCCTCCTTCAGGCCCCAGTGTAGAAAAAACATCGTTCAATTGAGTCAGCAGTTGGGAGACAATCAAAGTGGATGGCCCTAGACTGCCATATTGATGCTTTCTCCTGATGTCCCTTCAATGAGATGTCAAGCAGCTTTCCTAGGTAGGGTGTCTATCTGCAACACAATTCAATAAGCTTACCTTGATTAACGTTAGGCTTGTGTTCGGCACATCATACAAAATGGAGTTTCTAACACAAGATGGAGGTTACAATTTGATTCTTTGCAGAATATGAGAGAGCCAAGGGGGGTGAGGTAATCTTTTAATGGACCAACTTCAATTTGTGGAAGAGACCAGCTTTCGAGCTACATAAAGCCAGACCTGAAGAAGAGCTCTGGGTAACTCAATAGCACGTCTCTCTCACCAACAGAAGTTGGTCCATTAAAAGATATTACTTCACCCTCCTTGTTAGTTTGATACAGACATGTCCCACTCTGTCACAAAGCACACAGGAGCAGAAGGAGAAATGTGCTGAATTTGATAAATGCGGTGGAATCCTATAGTAAGGATGTCATTTGTTTGAACAACATTGCTCTAGCCAGAACTCGCCTGTAACCAGTTTCTGTTTGCACATAGTAAAGCACGGGTGCTGGGATTTTCAAAAGAACCTATGGGAATTAGGCACCCAGCTCCCATTGAATTCCATCTTGAAACAATGAGGGACTTTGTATTTTCTGTATAGATGGAATTCTCCAATTGTCCATAATAGGCCCCATAGTTCATTTTAAGAAAAAAGTCTCTGTTAAAGATAGGGATTGAAAGACTTGCTCAAATGATGGCAAATATTTTTCATTATTCTAGGGAATATTAGTTGTTTATGTGGGTTGGATAGCATCTTGCAGCATTCTTTCTTGAAGATGGTATCAACATATTCTGTTTTCCTTTCTCTTCTTCACCTCTGGAATAAAAGAGCATCTAATCTGTTGCTTAAATTATTCATTCCTCTCACTCAGAAGCAAGTATCTGAATACCACTTTAGTTGTTCTTAAACATCTTTTCTTTTATACTTCCTCAAACCCCAAATACAAATAGCAGCTTCTAATAAAACAAAATCTCTCACAAAGAAAGATGGGGCTTGTGCTCCTAAATCCCTTTAGTGCATCTGCAAGTTTCCTGCAAACATGTTTAGTAAAAGCATATACCTAAAAAACCATCTTCCTTCTAGAACTGTTAGTTACTTCTCAGTGAGATATGGTACCTTTCCAATTGGTGACAGGTCCAGGGGTGAACAGGTGTAGGAAGAAGTCAGATGTATCTGGAAAGGGAGTAAAGAAATGCCTTCTTCCTACATCTGTTCACCCCTGGGCCTGCCACCAATTGGAAAGGTACCAAATTCATCCGCAAATGTGAGAAATGGAAAAAAGAGACAACTTATACCAGAAGGGTGAGGTTTGACAAATCTTGATTGTGTGATTTCTTGTCTTATTGTTTTATTTTTGTCAGCCACTGGGCCACAAAGAAAAAAAAAACCCAAATCAAGACATAACAATTGCCGCACAAAAGGAGATTTGTCAAATAATAATATTATTAGAGTTGTCAGGGGAACCGTTGTGGGATTCTCTGTGTCTTCCTGCCTGCACTGCTTTGTAAAATAATCCGTAGGAAGACAGACAGAACAACTTATTTCTTCTGGAGGAATTCTTCAATTGCCACTTGCATCAATCAGCTGTACTTGGAGAGATTTTTATTAGCAACTTCCAGCTCTTATCCTCTCCCTTTTCTGCCTGTTCTCTTCTGTCACTGGTTAACTGATGGAGCGAAGTAGCACTCTGTGAAAAATGCAAGGAGGAGTTTGGTTTTGTTCTTTTACTTTTAAAATAAAAGTTCCGTTGGCCATTTGTGTTTTTCAAATGCATATACAGTGTGTTGGGGATTTACTACATGAAGGTGAGAATTACCTTCTCAGAACAGTGTAATCAGTTTCCATTTGCTGGACCAGCCTTCAGAACATCTTTATGGTTAACTAGTAGAAAAGAGAATGCCCGTAACCAGATTGCATTTGTAAATAATTTGGGCACTTTTTCTTAATTATTTAAATACCTATACAAACCTTTTTAGATTTAATGCAAGCAAGTACGTTGCTACAAATCTGTTTATAATAGACTCTGTATATGAGTGGAAAAAAAACCATGACCAAGATTTTCGAAAACGGGGGGCCTAAATCAGTGCCCTGATTTTCCAAAGTGCAGCCAAGATTCCTGTTGTAGCCAGAGAGGGAGCTGCTGGGTGCTCAGCATATTGGAAAATCAAGCCGTTCATTTAGTTATCTAAATATGGATTTTGGATCCAATCCTTAGGCACCCAGTTTTTAAGCTGGAATTTTCAAAAGAGGCTATGGGATTTAGGTCCAGATCCCCAAAGGTATTTACGCTCCTAACTCCCATTTGATTTCAATGGGAGTTAAGCATCTAAATATCTTTGAGGATCTGGGCCTACGCACCTAACTCCCTTAGGGCCCTCTGACAATTGCAGTCTAAAATCTTAGTCAATGTATCTTTATTTTACCTTAGCAGAGTTGGGATATCATTCAAAGCACAAGAAGAGAAATTTTCTTTTGGAAGGTATTTTTCGTTATTATGCAAGAAAGGGTAGCAAGTAAAAATAAGTAGGTTAAAATCAGGTATTAGAAATGGACTATTGTATATATTGTCATGCAGTAGAATTGGGTCACAATGTTTTTCTGGTTTTGCTCTGTCTAAGCACAGAGGGGGAAAAAAGTGAAGTACTATAGTTAGCTATCCTTATAGTGGTCTACCAGAAATTAAAACCTGAAAGAAAAATGCAAATGTTACCTACATTAAGATGGTGAAGTTTGATAATCAGAAGTAAATTGTTAGATGTACTTAGAGTATATACCTAGGGTAAGTCAAAGAGGTTTGCTCTTCCAACTCAGTAGCCCAGATGGTTACATAGATCACTTTTTTTTCAGTCCATTTTGCTGCTAATTGTAAGGGAATATTTCAAGGGGAACGGGAGATAAGAACATTCTTTTTCATCTCTGAAGGAGGAAGTCTTTCGAAGCGCAGTTCTTGTTTAGAGTGACCTCCGTTTATTCTGTGGAGAAGTTATCTAATCATAAAAAAAAAGACTGATGAAAAAAAGTCCACTGTAAACTTTATTTATTCCTTCTATATGTTAACAAAAATATGATGACGGTGCAAAAGCTGTGTCTATTCGGTGTTGAATATAAACATGTAGAAGTCCCAGTGGTCAAGATATTGTGACTCCTAAGACTGCTGCAGTTTTGAAACTAGTCATTAAGAAGTGTGTGAAATACATTGACAGCAGTCTGAGAGTAAGGTATAGTTTCGAGTCCTTTATTATTAAGTCTTTCTAAACCCCTTAGTGCAAGTGGGTTAGGACTCGGAGTGCTTCTATTAAACAATGCCCCAATTTGCATTAGGTTTGATTCCCTGCATTGGAGTTTTAACTCATAGAAGGCTTAGCATTGCTGTATTTATTTCCTTTTATTTTCATTTTTCCTTTGATGCTTTATGCGCATTTTGTTTGTGTACATGTTTTTGTAGTGTAAGATATAAAATTTTATATTTTTTCATAAAAATAAAAATCTTTGAATAACAGTGACATCCTGATGTGGATCATGCTCACGCTGTTGGTACTTTGTACATAATCCCAACTCATCATTCAAAATGATGGGGTCTAAATTAGCTGTTACCACTCAAGAAAGAGATTTTGGAATCACTGTGGATAGTTCTCTGTAATCATCTGCAGTGGCAGTCAAAAAAGCTACCAGAATGTTAGGAACCATTAGGAAAGGGATCCATAATAAGACAGGAAATATCATAATGCCACTATATAAATACATGATATGCCCACCCCTTGAATACTGTGTGCTGTTCTTTTGAACGCATCGCCAGGGGATGTTGTGAAGGCCAAAAGTATAACTGTGTTCAAAAAAGAATTAGATGAGTTCACGGAGTACAGCTCCATCAATGGCTATTAGTCAAGATGGTCAGGGATGTAACCCCATGCTCTGGGTGTCCCTAGCCTCCAAGTGCCAGAAGCTGGGAGTGGACAACAGGGGATGGATCACTCTATAACTGCCCTGTTCTGTTCATTTCTTCTGAAACACCTGGTGTTGGTGACTGACAGAAGACAAGATATTGGGCTAGGTGGACCATTGATCTGATCCAATATGGCCATACCTATGTTCTTATGTTTCTACTCATAAATTCCGATGAGTCCCACAAAACACTAGACTCGCCTCTCGCTGACTTGCTTACAGTGTTGTGAATTCATGATATTTATCCCAAGTCTCCTGATAGTTGTTTTTCTCAAAGCTTCAGCTCCTTGAGTCCTGTGATTCCCTGAGAATCTCAGACTTCATTTAAAAGAAAAATAAATGTCTAGCCTTTATGGTTACTGAGAAAAGTCTGAACAGATGAACCCTGGAGGCTCAGAAACCACTAAGCGAATATAAAGAACCACACATTTATTGTTTTCTTTTAAAAAAATCTCATGATTTTCAAGACAATCTCCTTATTTTAAGAGGTACCTGCTTCTTAATTTTTGTAATGTTTTCCTTTAGCAATACTGTGCTATGTATCTGTCTAGCTATTTATAACACTCCTACCAATCGTATCTTAATTCTCAGTAATTCTGTCTGGGATTTGAACCCACATCCATTTTAGTCAGCACACTTGATAGTCAAATAGGACCTGAGCCAAAGCCCATAGATGTCAATGGGAGTCTTCAATGAACTCTGAATAGGGCCAATAGCCCTTTTTAGGACACAGCTAGATTAAGCTACTCCAGGAAAAGCATGTAGCATGCGTGTGAATTCCTGCCACCTTTCAGGCAGCAAGGGGGCTCCTTTCCCCCCACCTGCAGCTCCAGTCATGCAAGGTGATATGAAGTAAACACCACACCCACACCCTACTCAGTTGGCAAGGCTACCAGAAGAGACGGCATGGCATGCAACCATCAGCTACTTTTGAATCAGTAAAACTGAAATGCTATGGAGATAGGCAGCATGTTGTTTTTTCAGGGTAAATCATTGTGGTTGCCCTTGAACACAGGAGAATCAGAGCAATTCTTAGTTTGTGGAGCTTAAAGGGCTGGAGACCGTCTGTGTATCATCACTAGCCTGGGACCAGGTTCAGCTCCTTGCTCTGCTACATACTTCCTGGGTGCCTGTGGTCAAGTGATAACAATGGAAGGAGCCTAAATACTTTTTTGGATCTGGGCTGTACCATCTGTGCCTCAACTTCCTGGAGGTAACAGCACTTCCCTTCCTCACACGGGTGTTGGGAGGATAGATACACTAAAGACTGTGAAAGGGGCCAGGTGAGTACCACGGGTATCTAGAGAGAGGGAGATGGGGACTTCCTGGTGGAGAGAGATGCTTTGGCAATGCAAGGAAAAGCAGAAAGCCTCCAGCTAAACACCCTGAAAAGCGAGGGTGCAATCACCATATAGGATAATGTCACACTATGGCCTGGAAGGGGGAATGCCTTACAAATCTCCTGTGCTCTGAGGGGAGTCACCCCTAGATCCACAGCGTATTGCACCCATCGGTGCCTGCATTCTGCTCCTGTGCCCAGCCTTGCAGAGGGTCTTGGTAGCCTGCAAATGGATACCGCTGCAGCCAGCCCATGGGGGAGAGAGGAGAGAATCAGCTCCCACGTGCCTGGCAATGGACCCCCAAGCAGCACTGGCTTATGGGTTTGTATCCAATGTGGTTATTCGATTGCAAGAGTAACACATACTGTTGTGTGTGTGGCTGTGTGTGTGAGAACAGCAGCTCGCACAATACTGTGGGTGGGTGTTTGTATAAGGGAGAATGTTGCCTCATACCAGTGTGTGTGTGTGAGAGAGAGAACAGCAGTCACACAGTACAGCATGTGTGTATGTGTAGTTGTGAGTGAGAACAGTGGCTCACGAAATTCTGGGGGTGGCTGTCAGTGAATGAGAGCAACAGACGACAGCCAGGCTTCACAAGGCGTGGGACAAAACTGAACAGAGATTCCGCACACCCCAGTTCTGGTGCCCAGCTCCCACCTCTTTCCTAGTCCTTACTTTTCACTTCCCTTGACTCCAACTTGTTTGTTTAACAGAGACATATCTTCCCCAGAGTTGGAACCATTAAAATCATCACAACTGATAAAAAAAAGAAAAGAAAGAAGTCATGACAAATTTCAAAATCATTTTTGTTGTGTCGGTTTTGAAAATGATTATTTTTGTGGGCTTTCTTTTTCAGTTTTTTGTGATCAATACAATCTACTGAAAACATACTTTTGCCTCTCCCGGTCTCCCCTTTTTTTGCTTTGTTTTGCCACTCTGTAACTTTTGATTGGCTAACTTAGTCACACGGTGAGAGAGATTTTAATTTTTTTTCCAAATCACTATACATTTCCCATTGTTTCTGAAGTCAACTGTGTCCGTCTCTCCGCTCAGACGTGCAGCGGAAAGACAGTGAGACTCACTGTCAGAGAAAGCTCATTCCAAATAATCACACAGAGATGAATAAAATGAGGCTTCCTCCCTGTGGGAGCCAGCTCTCTGCTTTGGGCAGAGAAACACAGGCATTGCCAGACTGGATCAGGCCGATGGTCCATCTAGCCCAGTATCCTGCCTCCGACCGCGTTCAGCGCCAGACGCTTCAAAGGAAGGTTAAACAATTCCCAGGCAGGTGGATGTGGGATCTGCACCCCTCTCCCACATACACACCATTAGCCCAAATGCACCATTGCAGTGGGGCAATATTGTTCAGTGCTCCCTCTGCTCTTCCCCAAATGACTGCATTGGCCTCTCTGTTGGTTTTAACATCACCCATTGCCAGAAGGAAGCTAAATCAGGCTGGGTTTGTGCTCCAGGCTTTAGGGCTCCCACCAGCCAAGCCAGGAGAACCGCATGAACCTAACTAGAGACATCTGTGTATTTCCCCAGCTTTTTGCATTCTGTCCTCTCTCCCTTGCTATGAAAGGAGGCAGAGCAAGTGAGAATGACTCTCTCCCACACCTGTCTCCCCTCCCCATCGGGACACGCATTCGATAGGGGAAACTTCCCCCCCCCGCTGTTGAAAACCTTCATCTGGTCAGTGTCAATGGCCAAAGCCTCAAAAGCCAAGTTGTTGTCACTGAATCAAAACTGATGCACTTTAAACTTGCTAGAGCTGCGGTGGGCTGCTTAGGGAATCTGGATGACACTGGGCACTCTGCATGTCTGTTTCAGGCTGCAAACTCCATTTTGCTTGTAAGTCAGGTCTTACTAATCTTCTTAATCTTTCTTTTCTTGCCTCCCCTTTGAACTAAAATGCCAAAGTGGTAAAGGGCTAACAACAGCAGGCCCTTAAATTTGGATGAGCACTCTTGGACAAAGAAATAGCTACCACCCAGCCCGGACCAGTTGTTTAAGTCTGAAATCCAGGGGGTGGCAACTTAGCAGCAGTCACCTGGCAAAGGTTATAAAAGCAGATCTAGCAGCCCCCCTCCCCCTTTAAAAGAGATCAGAAAGACTGAGTTCTGCAGAAGAAGTCCCAGCAGGAGGAGAGGAAGGATCCTCCATTCCTCAGAGGATGCTGCCCAAAGAATGGTCCAGAATGGTGAGGAAACTGAGGCAGAGAAACACAGGTAGGTGTTTCATTGTTTTGTCAGGATCTGTGCTTTTTGCACGCTAAGTGAATCGTAGCTGTTTAGAAATCTTTGCAAAGTCTGTGAGCCCACTGACTTCACCTCCCCCTAAAGAGTTAAACTGTAAACCCAGGGTGCCCCCAAGGTTGGAGCTCTGGGGAAGTGTGTATTTAAGTTTGTGGGGTAGAGGGGAGTCAATACTGGTTCTGGGGCTTAGGGTATCTGGGCTGTTTGCTCCCTTTTCTGTGAGAGGCTAACAAAATGGGGGCCTCCACCCAGGAAATGGGGGGCAGTAATAACAACACTTACCTGCCTCACCGCTATGTTCTGAGCTTCATTTCAGGCACTGGTTCATGGCTGTAATGTGCTTGGGGGCCCTTGCCTGCAAGATGCTCTCTGAGGCCTGGATCCTTCATCTTTAAAGTTGACGTGGGGGGGTCCCTATTGATTTGAATCAGAGCAGGATCAGGTTCCAATTGCACAGTATCTGAAGTGCTCTCCTCCCTGCTCTTGGCTTGCTGAGCAAACAGCAGTGTCAGGGAGGAAGACTTTTCCTGTAACTGAGGAAAATAACTTGGAAGGAATTTTCTGACAGGAATTTCTCCACACTGCTCTGCATAACTCCTCAGTCCTCCCATGCTACATAATGGTTTTAACTGAAATGGAAGCAAGTTGAGAAGAAAGGTGAATTTAACAGGGCTACAGAGGTTTTTGTCCCACCACTTCCCTCCCGGTACACTCCTGCACTATGGATCTGAAACAGCCTGGGGCTGAAGGCTAGAGGCCAGATTTTCAGAAGTGCTCAGCGCCCCTTAGCTCCCGCTGTCCTCGCAGACGCTGCTTCTTTTTGAAAATTGAGCCACTTCATTTCGAGCGAGTTACAAAAGCACTCAGGGCCATATTTTCAAGTGCTCAGCACCTACAGCTGGGGGCCAGATATTTCACAGGAAAAGAGCTCCCATTTAGGCTCTGAAATCAAGGACTGATTTTTCT